CTGTTCCCAGCGTGGTGTCACCTGGGAATGTCTTATAATGCAAATTTTCAGACTACCTCTAGCCTATTGAATCAGAATTTATGAGCTGGACCAGTAATTTTTTAACAAGCTGTCCAGATGATTCTTATGCAAGGTAAAATTTGAAAACCACTACTTCAAAAAAAAAAAAAAAATCAAAATTTTAGAGTGTTTTATCCTCTTGGATAAATTACTGAATTCTTTCAATCAGTAAAATATGGAGTATCACCAAATTCATACAATGATTGAAAAGATTAAGTTAAAAAGTATATAAAGTGTAACATAATATCGTTTTTAAAATATTTTATTATTTTTATTTTATGTAAATGAGTGTTATGCCTGCATGTAGGTAAATGCACCCGTGTAGTGCAACACCCACAAAGGACAGAAGAGGCTATCAGATCCCCTGGAACTGGAGTTACAAATAGTTGATATGGACCTTGTAGGTGCTGTGATTCGAACCCAGGTCTTCTGAAAGAACAGTGTTCTTAACTGCTGAGCCATCTCTCCTGCCCTTAACAGCTCTTAATAAATGGTAATTATTACATAGTGTGCTAAAGAATCCTCTACCAGCCCATGAGACATAATTATTAAATTTTTAGAAAATTTGAGGCAGATATTAAAAGTTATTATTGAAAATTAAATGACACAAACTTAATTAGTCACATTAAGATATGTATTTATATTCAAAACCATCACTATTTAGCTTACTATATTTTAATATTATGTGTGTCCATGAAATTATTATGCCTACTTGGTGGGTATACTATATAATAATCATGTGCTAGGAAATTGGTAAACACTGGGGGAAGGGGAAATCAGCACACCACTACATACTAAGTTCAATTTTGAACAATGAGTTTGAAGTAATTACTTATGTAGTGATGTCTAATAATCTGCTAGATAGAAAGTTGTATAGCCCAGGGGCGCACGCATGAGCGCACGTGTGTGTGTGTGTGTGTGTGTGTGTGTGTGTGCATGTGTGTGTGTTGGTGTCCGTATGTGCCAATAGGTACCTAAAGTCATTCTAAGAAGAAAACAGATGAACATTTAAAGAAATCACCAAAGGGACTCCGGAATTTACAAATACAGATATAAGCACTTCCATTTACCAGTATCCCTGCCCCTGGTTTAACCCTGGAATTCTTCAAGTACCAACCATTGTATAAATACATGCACTTTATTATATTACTCTGCAGTTTGAATACAGTATCCCTATATCAGTCAGCATGAGAAATGGCTCTTTAGGCCATTTATTTAAACAACACTAACTGGTTCAAGCAATTAAGTTGCTTTGTTAAGTAGAAATTGACATCAAACACTAAAAAACAAAAACAAAACAAAAAAAATAAAAAACTACTCATATAGGAAGGAATGTAAGACCAGTGATACTGAATATATTTCAAACTTTAGTTTCAAATAGCACAAAATTTGTATTCAAAATAAGACTGCACTTCTAGTTTGAATGTTTTTGCTCGCTCCAAAACTTACATTGAACAGTAATCTACAATGACAGATATGACAAAACTAAAAAATGTGCTATCCTAAGACATAAGAAAGGGGAAATCTCAAAGAAAGGTATTTAAGATTACAAATTATTCTTAGGTAAGAAAACAGCACACGTCATTTCCTGTAAAGTACAACACTTTACTGAATAAAAATACTGAATACTCCCTCAACTGACAAGTCAAGTCCAAACTCTCTAGTTTGGCATTTCCGACCTTTCATTATCTGGTGACTGCTAATACTTCTCACCTGTCACTATTTCTGTAATTTTTCTCTAGCCAAACGAGCTATCTAATCACGTCCTAGAAACTTCCAAAACTTCCCTATTTACTTTCATTTATGTCATCTCTCTCTCTTCTAATAAACAGCCTCATTCCGACCTTTCAGATGCTAATTGTTGGCTCAAGTTCTAAACCTCCCTATTCCCATCATCTGTAATATATGCAAAGATATTTTGTATCACACTTAAAAGAAGTTTTGTTGCTGCTGTTTGAGACAAGATCTCACTAGGGAATCCAGGTTGGCCTCAAACTCAGCAGTCTTATCTTCCTGCCTCAGTTTCCAATGTGGTGGGATTACAAATGTGTGTCACCATACTTAACTATACATTTATTTCTATTACAGTTATTTGTGGGTTATATAGTTCCTACTACAATTACTAGAAACTTGAAGTATGGATGTCTTACTCATTTTCCTCCTCCCTAAAGTCCATATGACTAATTTTCAATCAGTAAAGACTGAATTATAACAACATATACAGCTAAATATATATATATAGTAAATATATATGGTCAACAAGAAATTTTCCTTTACTTTCTTGTAGAGAAGACCACTGCCATAAAAATCTCTTTTAAGAAGTCTGAGGCTGGGGCTCAGGGGCGGAGCATTTGCTAAACATACACAAGGCCCAAGGGCCTTCCCAAAGACCACAAAACCAAACCAAACCAAACCAAAACAGAGTATCTTTAAAATACATACATACATAAAATATGAGCACCTTATTTATTTCTTTTGGACAGTAGAAAGTGTTCACCTACCATTAACCAGTATATGTTAGGGAATTGTTACAAACTTCACTGGCTCAGATATAAAATTATTTTCCAACGTTTCAATGTTAACACATTATTGTCAATACCTTCTGACTGATAACACACTAAACCTCTTCATCATTGAAAAGAGCAGTTTAGAAGGAAATGGCTTGCCTGAAGTTGACCTCAAAACGTGTACCTCTGAGAAATCTCTATACTTTTTTAAAAAATATAATTTATTTATTATTTTTATTTTACTCTACACTTTTTTAGTGAGAGGCCACACAATTAGACTTTTCTGTTTCTGCTTCAATACCTCCATGTCTACCAACCCATGTTTGTTTAGAGCTCATATTTTCAAGTTCAAAAACTGGAAATAACTGGCAGTATTAAGAATCTAACCAAGGTTTACTGATACGTGAGAACTACTAGGAAAGACAGAAAAATTCAGACATAAAAATTTCTTCTTGAATTCAAGATTAAATGCACAGCACATACAAATAACTCCATTAGGAGTTAGAGATTATGTAAGTGCTGAAAGCTTCTATCAAGGTACCCAGAGTGCTAAGAGAAAAGGGAGCTCGAATTTCTGAGAAGCATGAAAATGAGATAGGATTCTATGCTCTCTGCTTTTCTTTCTCTCTCTCTCTCTCTCTCCTTCCCTTCTTTCCCACCCTCCCTTCCTCTCTCATTTTCTAATATTTTTAATCAAGCAATGGCATTGAAGATTTTTAATTTTATGGTTTTTTTAAGATGAAAATTTAAGTTTATTAACAAATTTCCTCTGTTTTGGGTATTCGGTGGTTTGCAACAGGCCTTGGGTCCCCTTCCTCCATTAAAAAACCCTGATTCAATATCTAAGTGTTGAGTTAAATGGATTTTATTAAAGCTCACCTTAAAGAGGAGAGTATTTTCTACACCAAACCTGTTCCTGTAATTAAAATCTGTGCAAAGGGAAGATACATTACACACTGTTGAATAATCTGGCTTAATACTGATTAAAAATTCTATTCCAAACCGAGCATGGTGGTGCACACCTTTAATCCCAGCACTTGGGAGGCAGAGGCAGGTGGATCTTTGTGAGTTCGAGGCCAGCCTGGTCTACATAGTGAGTTTCAGGACAGCTGGGGCTACAAGGAGACCCTGTTTCAAAAAAAAAGACAAAAAAAAAAAAAAAAATTTTACTCCAAAATTAAGGGCATAACACACAAATGGGCCATCCTGTTTTTACAGAAATCTGTCCCACACATCAATAGTATTCACATTAAAAGGAGAACAAACGAAAGTAAATTCAGGGCCCTTGACAGTTTTTCATTCAAACCACCTCCTGCAACTGTGTTCTTCCAGGAAGCTCACAGCACGATTTCTAGATTGACATGCTTCCTGGAGGGTGCTGAACTACCATGATCTAACTCTGAATATGTGTGGAGCACGGTATTGACAATCAAAGGACCACATCTCAAGCTTAAAATAACTTGCACAGGAGTGGAGAAAATCCAGTGTAGGGATACCAATGAGGTCCATTTTTGAAAGAGGGCATTATGACCAATGGGAGTGGAGGCAGACTGGGGAACATTTACTGCTAAGATATTTCAAGTCGCTACTATTAAAAGTTTTTGTTCTTAATTACATTACAGAATTTACCAGGAATGTTTGTAATTACGCACATGTAAGCAGTAGCTGATGAAAAAAAATCTGTTTAAATTATCTATAGTTCTATAAAACATATTTGCTTTTAAATATCCAATCTCTTGGGATTAACTATAAATACATAATACAGATTATGCAGATTCAGGCAGAGGGAGGTGGGGAAGAATAAGCAGCATGCAAATTCCATAAAAATGTGTTGCAGGATGCAGTTTCCTGCTACAGTAGCCAGACGAGGGAATCCAGAAAGCCGGCTGAGCACAGGAACAGTGCACACGGTAGTCACCCAACACTAATTCAACAGCTAGCGGCTCCAGGCGGCCCTCGCCGCCTCTGACAAGTCATCATCTCAACCTATGAGGCTGTCTGCTCTCCCCCGGTGGAAAAGCAATCGCGGGCAGGTTGTAAATCGCCCTTCCAAACTACTTGCTCGCACTTCCGCGCGCCGGCGCCAGGAATCCCCGGGCCCGGGAGAGGTCGCGCGGGCGGGGAAAGAAGTTCCGCCCGGGGGCTCGCTCGCGGAGGGACCCGGCGGTCCGGGCCTCGGAAGCAGGAGGCCGGGACCGGCGCCGGCAGGAAGCGGGGAGGAGGGGAGGCCGCGGAGGCGAGGCGCTGGGCCGGCCGACCCCACCCCGGCCCGCGACCCCGCCGGCTCCCCGCGTGCGCCAGCGCTCCCCAGGGAGGGCCGCCGCCCCCCAGCCCGAGGACCCGCGGAATCCCGCAACTTTGCGCGACAAATGCTTCCCACCCTGCAGCGCTGAGAGGAAATGTCAGAATGACTGCGGGGAGAGGATGACTTACCCATGTTGCTCTCACGGGGCGAGGGCCGGCAGGGCGAGGCGCAGAGCTCGGGTGCGGCGCGCCGGCGTCCTCCGCGTCTCCCGCAGCCAGGGAGGGACCCGCGGGGGGCGGCCGCCGGGGAGGAGCAGCGGCTGCGGCTGAGGGGAGCGTCCGGAGGAGCGCCCCGCCCTCCCCGCCGAGCATGCTCAGTGCGGCTTTTCCCCTTCTGCCCGGGGCGAGGGAGCGGAGCGGACCGGTGGGTGTGTGTCTGCTGACTGGCTGCGGTTACCGCGTGCGGGACCGAGGCCCGGCTGCGGGGTAGGGACCCCCGGGCCGACCCACTCCCCGGACACAAGACAGGAACGTGCCGTCGCCTGCCCGGAAGCCTCCTCAGCGCCGAGCATGCTCAGTGCGGCTTTTCCCCTTCTGCCCGGGGCGAGGGAGCGGAGCGGACCGGTGGGTGTGTGTCTGCTGACTGGCTGCGGTTACCGCGTGCGGGACCGAGGCCCGGCTGCGGGGTAGGGACCCCCGGGCCGACCCACTCCCCGGACACAAGACAGGAACGTGCCGTCGCCTGCCCGGAAGCCTCCTCAGCCCCGCAGGGTGCTGGGCTGCAGGCACACGCCCGGGGCGAGGCTGGCGAGCACGTGTGGGCCCCGCGCGGCGCTTGGGATGCCTGGCTGAGCGCTAAGCGAGACTCATCCAGGTCCCCCGTTAGGCTGGGAACCGGCCTTCCCCGCCCTGGGCGCCGGGCGCGTCGCCGAGCCCTCCGGGGTGTGTCGGCCGAGCACCGGGATGGACCTACTCGGTCTCCCGAACCCGACGGGGGCTGCGCCGCTTCGGCCTTGGGGACGCGGGAAGCGTGCTGACCCGGGACCAGGCACCCTGAACCTGCCCTGAGCCCTGTGTGGTTAGAGGAGGGTTCGTACCATCCCGGGGCTGGGGCGAGCAGATTGCACAACCTGTGGGACCAGAAGCCACGTTTCTTTCCCTTGAATTTTTGCTCCCCGATGTTGAGAAAGGTCTTTTTCTTCGTGTGAGTGACAGCTCAGCCTCTGTATGACCGTATTACTGGCACAATCAGAAGGGGCCCCTGATACATTAAGCGCAGAGATTTTATGCGATTTTTCTGAAAAGTGCTACATAAACAGGTGTGGTCATACAAGAATAAGGAATTCACTGAAGCGACGCAAAAGTTAATTAAGCAACTAATCTCTAAAGAATATCTTCCTGTTTCCCTCCAGATCATCTCACAGAAGTTTCCTAGGGCTGCTTCAATGATTACCACAAACTGAGGATTAGAGCAAGGAAGTAAGACAGTTGAGGAGGCCAGAAAACTGCAATCCGAACAGGGCCATGTACCTTCCCAAGGCACGGCAGAAGGGTCTTAGCTTCTAGTTCTTTGACTTGTGGCAGCCAAACTTCCAACTTTGATGGTGCATATGGTGCTCTCCCTATGTATTTACGTGTTCAAATTTTCCTTTTTTTTATAAGACACGGGTCATGTTAGATTGGGGGACCCACTCAAGTATGATCTCTTTAATTCTGTTGGCAATGATGCTGTTTCCAAGCAAGGTCTGGTTTAGCTGTATGGGGGGAGGGGCGCAATTCAGCCAATAAGCCACCAAATCACATGTATATCTGCCATATTCCACATTGCACCCCCACCCTTAAATGTCTCCATAAAACTACACTGGGCCTTTGGATTGCTTCTGGTGTTTGGTCCCTCCTTCCTTAATTTTCACAGATCTTTTCCAGATACTCAATTTCACATGCTTGTTTTTCTGTTACTTCCTTTACTAATTGTATGTTATAATAATTTCAGAATATTTTCTTGTTTTCATTTGAGTTGAAATTAGAAAATCAGCTGAAATGGCTTTGTGTCCTTTTTACCCAGTGTAAGCGCCAGTTTTGTTCATCTTGAATCCACAAGCCATCCCTTCAGCGTTCTTGCCAATTAAAACCACAGAGCTGGCCAGTCATAGGTTTTACATTGAAACTGAGTCCCCTGTAGTGAAACTAGTGAGACCCTCTAGTACTACCCAGAAGCAGGCCACTTACGGAACCATAAAACACTTGCTTGTTTGTTTTTAATTTGTGGAGGTGGGGAGATTGGGGGGGTTACTTTTATTGTGGTTGAGTGTTTCACCTGAATTCATACAAGTTTACCAGTGTTGTCCAGTGCCCATGGAGGCCAGGAGAGAGCCTTGGACCCCCTGGAACTGGAATTTGAGAGTTATGAGCTGCCATGTGGGTGCTGGGAACTGAACCTGTGTCCTCTGGAAGAGCAGCCAGTTCTCTTAACCCCAGACCATCTCTCCAGACCTGTTTTTGGTGCTTTTGTTTTTGAAATGATTTCCCCACAGCCCTAGCTGGCCTAGAACTCCCTATATAGACCAGGCTAGGCTCATCTCACATCCTGCCTCTGCCTACTGAATGCACAGATTAAGTGTGCCACCAGATTCAATTTGTTTTTTTGAGACCTCGGATGGTGGCTGGTCCAAGATAATCTCACAAACTGACATCAGTTCTCCTGCCTTGGCCTCTAAAGTGCTGAGTTTAAGGCATGGGCCAGCACACTGAGATCAGTAACATACTTTTTGCACACACAACTCTTTCCTCCTTTCTTGTCCTTTCATAGGAATATAATGGTTTTTATTTTCATATTTTTATTTATGAACCCTTCCATAGGCACCTTGTCTAGATTTTAATTATTCCCACTTTATAGCCCTACTTCCTTATTTTTTTCTTTAATATACATCACTAGGATAATATGTATTTTGATTTTGAGGGCCTAACATGCACATTTAAACATAAGTCCTGGGGCTGGAGAGATGGCTCATCGGTTAAGAATACTGACTGCTCTTGCAGAGGACCTGGGTTTGATTCTCAGCACCCATATAGTAGCTAACAACTGTCTGTAACTCCAGTTCCAGGGTAATCCTACTCCCTCTTCTGACCTTCGTAGGCATTGCAGGCAATAAACTCATACACAAAAATTAAAAATAATAATAAATAAAAATATGTAAAAAAGTTGCATCCTCAGAGTAGCTTTTGCCTTTTCTTATTTGCTGTTCTTTATTCCCCAAGACAAAGCAAATGCTTAATAAACGTTGCTGTATGAAAGTCTTTTTTGTCCTTTTTTACTCCCAGAGATTTTATCCTGAAAGAGAGTGAGAAGATTTTCCTTTTAAATGCTAGCAACAAAAAAAAAAAAAAAAAGAAAAAAGTATAGCACCTCACTAAGTAAAATTAATTGATAGCTATGATGATTATGACAGCTATTCTGTACTGTTTCTGTCTTAAAGTATGATCCCCTACTGGGTGGACTCTTTCTAGTGATTTGTTTATTCATTGTGCCATAGAGGTTTATTGAGTGTATATGCTATACTGTGAATTATGGTATTAGGGATATAAAATTAAACTATGGTCCCTGCCACCAAACAAGGTGATAGACTAGAAACATTGTTTTCACAAAACTTCTGGTCATAATCATAAAAATAACCAGAAATACACACTTTATATCAAGGAATTCTTCCAGAATTTACTTTTCCCCATTCTGCAGGTTAAACAGTGGTCAAGATTTAGGTAGGTCTATTACAAAATGCAATAGGTAGAGGTTTGTAATCCCCAGAGGTTCATAATTCCCTCTGTGAAATATGTGCATATGTATCATGTTTATTTGAATAACAAGTTCTGTTGAAAATTGACATGTTAAATAAGTGTCTTTTGAGAAGAAAAACATCAAGGAAAATGTCTGTTAGTAAAGATCAGGAGCAGTACTGTATTTTAAACAAGGCTTGTAACTTACCTAATTAATGCGTGTAACCTCAAGTCAGAAGATGATTTAAGTTCTTTAAGGGAATCCTGCTGGGAGGGGAAGAGCAAAAAGGAAGAGAGGAGAGGAGAGGAGAGGAGAGAGAAAGGATGTCCTTAAAAGAATAATGGGGTGCTGATTGCCTCTCCTTTGCCATGATGTTCTGAATACCATTTGGAAGAATCGCACTAGAGTAGTTAACTGAACTTTGCAGTGATAAATAATTCCACAGTGTACAGTTTTCTACCTAAACTCTATTTTCTAAAGGCCTCATTGGTGCTGGGCATTGTGGTGAGGGTGGATCTCTATGAGATTGAGTCTAGCCTGGTCTATGTAATGAATTCCAGGCCAGCTGGGACTATATGGAGACCCTGTTTCGAAAAACCAGGCCAAAACAAAAGATCTCATTGGGGAAATTAGGCTAGTCCAGGTTGGACGACTAAAATTTTCTAACCTTATTTCAATCCCTGTGTCATTGTCCTTTGTGCCATTTACTTATATATTAACCATTCCCTAAATCCTGTGAATTTGTGATTTTCTTCTTTTCGTATTCTGTCAACTCTATGTGGACACATTTCAAGTAATTATAGACCTATATTATGTATATTTTTAGATGACCTAAAAATCAGTCAACATATCTCTTCTAAGCTTTGTACTGTACTAGTATGTTGGTTACTTTTCTTGTTCAAAGACCTGATAAAAGCAACTTAAAGGAAGATGAGTTTATTTTGGCTAACAGATTGAGATACAGTCTGTCATATCACAGAAGGCATGGTGGCAGGAGCATAGCACAGCTGGCAGCACACCTCCACAGTTAGGAAGCAGAGTGATTGAATGCTGTCCTTGAGCAACTTTTCTTCTTTTTATTCAGTCCAGGCCCCAGCCCATGGAATGGTGCTGCCCACAGTTAGGACGGTAAAATCTAGAAACACCTTCATAGACATATCCAGGGGTTTGTTTGCATGGTGATTCTAAGTCCCACCAAGTTTACAATCAAGATTAACCTTCACAGGCTAGTTATCACTATAGGTATATATCATGCAAAATTAGGATAAGACCAGTCTATTTTTAAAAAGCTCTTCCTATTAGAAAACTCTCATAAGTCTGTGAATACAAAATATAAAGAAAAGAAGCCAAAGATGGCTTCATACACTATTTAAATAAAGGATAGAATATTTGGGGGAAAAATTAACTCTAAGAGAAAGAATCATCATAACCTACAACACAGATGCCATATTTATCAGACCATTGAAAGAGTGCCTGTTAAGGATGGTTGGAAATTCAGTATGAAAGATAAATTATGAGTGGCTGAGAAAACCAGGCAGAGAAATGTAAACTTGATAAGGTTAAAAATAGGGA